TGATGCATTCTTAACTTATTCTAATTCAGTAATTTACAAAATAGACAAAAGAGCAGCAAATCAGATTGAACCATTAGCTGATCTGCAGGCTGCCAATAAAACAACTCTAAGCACTACAACTACATTTATCAGTTGATATGCTTCTTAGCTTATTAAAATACAGATTTTTTAACAACATACTGGAGAGGTAGGACATTGTCTTGGTATCATCACAGATACCATCCAATTAGCATTATGGATAATGCATAGAATAGATTAATTACTGAAACTACTCCTAAATTCAGCCTTTCCAAAATATTACACTTGTCATCAATCTGAAATCTGTATTTCTTTCATTAGCTCACCACACCATAGTTACTATGAGAGAACAACCTGTTACTGTATACATTCCTTATTTAGTACACTTTTTCCCTGTTTTTCTTAGTTCTTGTGTCCCACAGCAGTTCTCTTTCCCTGTCTCTCACACAGACAGAGAGATAGGTAAATGAATCCTGTCATCAAGCTTATAAATTGAAAAGGACAAGGTACACAAGAGAAGGGGGGGGGGAAAGAGTTTTTGCAAGGTCAAAATAAACTGCTAATGCTGTTAGCAAGTATTTCTGTCTAATATTGGCAAGTCTTCCCTTGGCGATTTTCTTGCTCTACTAGTTCATGATTCTTATTTATTTGGCTGATAGGAAGGACCAGAATGTCCTTTTCTTTTGTTTCTGCAATGTCAGGATAACTAACAATTGGGTTGAGGCTTTGTGGCAGGAAGGGCAAAACAATCTCCTGCTAGCTGTTTTTTGTGACATGTTAGTCCTTCTCTTGCAATCGTGTGTCAAACTTCCAGGCAAATGTAATGGTATGTGGGAATGATATTGGGAGATGGGGAAGATTTGCAGTGGTTGGATAAATGGTAGCTTAGCCTGCAGAAGGAATATGGGCATGGGACTCAGAAGGGACTCTTCTTGGTTCCATATAAAGGCAATGGGAGAGAAATGTACTTTCAGTCTTGCAAGATTCTGTTAATGTAACCTTACAGTAAAGTAAAGCTAGTTCTTCTGGGTGTGCTTCCTGTCTCGACTATCTTGCAAGGCCAACATCTGTCTTGCAAGTCTGAATGTACATCTTTCCTCCATCACCTTTAAAGCCCAAGAATCTAGGGAGGATCCCTTCTGAGGCATATGCCATGCTTACATTCCTGCTGGAGGCTAAGCTGCCTCTTATCCATGTATTGCCTTGGCTGCAGCCCTTCTCCCTGTCTCCCAAGTTCAGCCCCACATACCATTAAATAGTATGACAATAGTATTACACAATACAAAAGACTTTGAAGCCTATGAATATTTAATAGCTTTTGTAGATTCAACCGTTGTAATAATGATGTGAACATTAATTATGCCACAGAATTTGATATGAAGTAAGAAAGTGCATTTAGTGTATCATTTGAAATGGGGAAAATAGAATTCACAGTTGTTGAAAAACATTTGATATGTACATCAGACATTTTTTTAATACAAAATAATAACTTCAACCACAAGTATCATAAGTCACATATACATTATTAAAAACAAATTGCACAATTTTCTCACCTTCCTCTATTACATGGAAGATAATGTAGGATTTGATCATGGTTAATTTAGCATTTCAGGGTTTGCACTAAGCACCTAGAGTGTCTAATTTATAATTGAACAGGAAGAAAGCATTCTCTGTGCAGAGTTTTGATAATGAATTAATGTGTTAACACATTAGCAAATTTTTTATTTCATATATATATATAAAAATATATCTAATCAGCATATATTTGCAAGCAGAATTATCTTTTGAAAATGGTGAACTGGTCATATCACTTTTGTTAAAATAGAGGAAGAGTAGAATAATAAGTTTATTGTCACTTTGAATGTACACTAATCAGCATACATTAAAATGAAATTTCATTGCATACCGCTCTCAAAGGATCACCGCCTCCGATATACACTACATAAATATGAAATAAATAAATACAGAATTATGCATATACCCACAAATATTATATGACACAGACAAACAACGCAGTCTAATTTGGATTATGTGTACATGTGCATGGCCAAAAAAATGAATCGTGTGAGTTTACCAGATGGAGTTTGGTACAAAATAAACAAACACTTAGGAATGGTTGGAATTATTTAGCATTATTTTTACTTTTATTTTATTTTTATTCACTAGAGTTTGCCCATTTTGCAAGAAATAAGACTATGTGCATGCAAAAATATCTATCTGTATAGGTGTGCTTTATATATTTATTTAATTACATTTATATCTTGCCTCTTCTCTAAAGGTAAAAGTTACCATATATAGGAATACCTTCACCCAGCTCATTGCTCTAACCTCTTCCATCTAGAAGTCATTCACTTTTGCTTTGTTTCGTTCACAACATATTTTCGGCTAGAAAGCAGAATAATCAAACAGTGAAAAAGGATCTAGTTCTGTTTTAAAACTTTAAGATGGCTAAAAGGAATTTAAATGCATTCATATTTTAATCCGTGGATCAAATTGTTTCCCAAAGAAACTGCAAACCTTTTTATTACAAATTTTATGTAGATATCTTTGGTGTAGTACTTAGCACAAGGCTTGAAACCAGGAGGCTGTGAGTTCTAGTCCCATCTTCAAAAAAGGGGGGAAAAACAGACCCAGGAAACTACAGAGCAATCAGCCTAACATCAATACCTGGGAAGATACTGGAAAAGATAATCAAAAAACAGATTTGCGAACTTCTAGAAACAAACAAAGTTATAACTAGAAGCCAGCATGGGTTTGTTAAAAACAGATCATGCCAAACCAATCTTATTTCATTCTTCGATCAGATGACTAAATTTGTAGACCAGCAAAATGCTGTAGACATTAGTATACTTAGACTTCACCAAGGCATTTGACAAAGTAGATCACAACCTACTTCTTGGAAAGCTAGAAAAAAGTGGGATAGGTAGCATTTCAGATGGATTTGTAACTGGCTGACAAACCATACTCAACAAGTAGTCCTTAATAATACTACATCTATATGGAGGGAAGTAAGCAGTGGGGTACCATAAGGTTTTGTCATAGGCCTAGTACTCTTCAACATTTTCATAAACAACTTAGATGAGGGAATAGAAGGGGAACTTACCAAATTTGCAGATGATACTAAGCTGGCAGGAATAGCCAACACCCTAGAGGATAGGCTCACGATCCAGATGGATCTTGACAGACTTGAACACTGTGCCCTATCTAACAAAATGAAATTCGATGTAGAGAAAAGTAAAGTCTTATACTTAGGCAAGAAAACCCAAAGGTACAAATATAGATTGGATGAAACCAGGCTTAATAGCAGTAACTGTGACAAGGATCTTGGAGCCTTAGTAGACAATCAATTAAATATGAGCCAACAGTGTGCAGCAGCAGCAGCAGCAGTTCTTTTAAACTAGCACAGACTGTTTCTAACCTGTGTGTAGGACAATTCTGTCTATATTTTTTATTCTATAGGCAAGGCGAGGCATGAGAGGGACAGTTGGAAGGCTGCTGAACTCCTCCATGTGGCCAATCATTGATAATAGTGGATAACAATTTCTAACAGAAGTAAAGTAATGAGGCCACTCTTAGCTGTTTGGCTCCAACATGCAATGTTTTTAAAGTCACCCTAGCTGGTGGATAATCATGAAACTAGGTTATTTGACTGGATCTGGTTCTCACTATTCATTCAAGAATCAAAGCAAACAAAACAAAAAAAACCCCCCACTTTTATCCCTGAAATCATAATAAGGACTTAATGGGGCAGCTCGTGGGTGATTAGGAAGAGACATTCAAATAATTGTGCCAATGGAGTATCAGAAATGATTGAAACAAAATGAAATTATAATTTTCTCATTTTACTTAAAAAAAACCCACAACTCTTTTAAAAAATTGGTGGAAATGTTTAAGAGTGCAGAACATTATTTAAATGAATGTTTTCTAATCTGACAACTTTAAGATGCGTGGACTTCAACTCCCAGAGTTTCCCAGCCATTGATACTATTATTGGCATGGTGAGGTCCCTCACTTTTTTTTATTTATGCTTATGAAATACTCTGCTGATAACGCATGAGGGAGACAGATATATTATTTCAGATAGTTTGAAGTGGTTGTCACTTATTTATGTTTCAATAAGGCAATGCAGTACTTCAGATTTATCTCCAAAAAGATGCTCCAGGGTACAAAGGAACACAAATGTAGCATCTGTTTAAGAAAGCCACTACATCTTTTCCTGGGATCGCAGAGCAGATGCAGAAGACAGGCATGTGAACCTAGGAAATGACATGGCTGCTTTAAAGAGTTGTACGTAAGTACCACATTTGTGGTTCTTTTTAAGCACACACACAGCGAGACACACATATCAAAAGTTTGAGAGCAATAATAAGAGCTAATACAAATAAAATTAGAACAGAAAAAACTAAAAATGCAATAAGAAAAGAAAATAGAAGAAAATGGAAAAAAGAGAGAAGGATATAACGATATAAGGAAGTAGCTTCTGATATTCTTCACAGCAGTTATAATTCTATTTTAACACACACACACACACTCTCTCAAGTTATATTGTGACTCTCTTCTTTCTATAATATATCCGGTCTAATCATCATAACCATAAATCACAAGTTCATTTTTCTATATTTTTATGAAAAAAAAGTCCATAAAGGTTTTCCAGACTCCAGTGCTACATTTGTACTCCATTGTGCTTCAAAACATGCTTTCTGGAATGGAATCAGACCTGTTGCATAGCCTTGCTGCTCACAATCCTTCGTTGTTTGGTTTAGGAGGGATTCTCAGAAAATAAAAATGGTCTGAAGTTGGAGGCCCCACTGTGTTGTTTGAAATGCCCTGCTACTCAGAAAAATAAAAATAAAAATGTATTTGCCTAGTAGGAAATAGGAAGTTTTGCAAGTAACTTCAGACCAACTGGGGTGGTAGTGGATGATCTAAGAGAGAGTTGAGGGAAAACATGCCTTTGACAGTGATCTTGTTTCTAATCCTAGGAAGAGTCCAGATGCTGCCTCAGGCTGTCTTTCTCCTGCATGGGCTGCTGGAGAATGGGCACACTGTCTATGTTCACTGCAACGCAGGTGTTGGTAGGTCCACTGCTGCCATTTGCGGCTGGTTAAAATACGTGCTGGGATGGAATTTGAGAAAAGTGCAATACTTTGTAGCCTCCAGAAGAGCAGCCATCTACATTGATGAAGAAGCTCTGGTCCGTGCCGAGGAGGATTTCTTCCAGAAATTTGGGCCGCTCCGTTCCTCATTCAAGCCCTAGCAGCAGCAGAAGAAGAAAATGCTAGCAGCATAACCAGGCTCAAACTTCTCAGAAATCGTGGCTTTAACTCCAGAAATGCTACTACCACTACCTGAGGAAATAGTAAGATGAAAATGTGAGTGAATGTGTGTGTAGCAGTCAGGGTACATAAAGATTATGTAGCCATTTTAGAGAAGGAGAATTCACATTGATTACTGATATACACTGAATACTCTTTGAGAAGGCGACTAATTTTAATTTGCCCACTCCTTCATGTCTAAGCATTTGGCAGGTCCTGAGTTAGGTAGCTAAGTAGGGTTAGGCCCTCTCAGTACTTTGATGAAAGACTTCTGGGGTATGTATCTAAAAGAACGTGGTAGCCCATCATTTCCATACTGTGCCAAGGAAACGACATGGACTGCCTGAAGTAAGTTCACGTTACTGCCTTTCCCAAGCCTTATTGTTTGTTTGTTTTTTACGGAGCTGCACATGTGCATATGCAAACGTGATCCTGGGAGCTAGACTAGGAAAGAAACTGCAGGTTTCTGGTTATGGCTAGGCATATGAAACTTGGTAAACCTCCTAGCCCAGACAGCAGATATGAGAGAGAGATGCAATGTCTCCAGTGTAGATTTTAAAATCTAGATTTGTTATAAGCCTCAGCTTGGCTAACCTTGGAATCTGGGCATGATAGGAGTTGTAGTAATAACAGTTGTGTAAAGGAAAAGAAACAACCCTGTCATACTTCACAGCGTGGGAGGAGAGCTATGATAATCCAAAAACCAGAAGGGTTTTGGTACTACATTTTTCACTTAACAAATTTTATTAAAAGGTATAGGTTTGGGAAGTTGAATTATGTTTTGCAGTTGTTAATCGATAAGGAACTTGTAATCTGTCTTACATGTATCCTCTATCTGCATAGTTAACCTGTCTTCCCCTCTCTTCCCTCCTCTGGCCTCACTCCAATTTAAATCCTGCATCAGTTTAGCCTCTGTGCATTTGATGAAGTGAGCTGCAATTCATGAGAGCTTATGCCCTTTAATAAAATTTATTTGTCAGAAAAAGTGCTACCAAGCTCCTCCTGATTGTGTGCTTCAGCGGTAGAAGCTGTCACTAAATAATAAATCAGAAACATTTTTTCTCACATATCCACATGCACAGGTGTTAGTGTCAGTGGAATAAACTATTGTAATCCAGGTGACAAATTAAGTATGTGTAGGACCAAAGGCTATGCATGGTTTAAAACAAATGATTAGGACTTAAATGGAAAATAGTTCAACTCAAACAATACCTATGGACATTGTGCAACAATTTAGATAAATTTGTGAAATCTCAGCTGGAATAATTGCCAGTTGCTACCATCACATCTAGAAGAATGTTTAGTTGCCAATAATCACCTTACAGAGAAGATGGCATAAAAATTTAATAAATAAATAGTGCAGCTGGGAGGAAAATCCAGAAGCATTACAGGGTTTAATAAACATTCTTCTATATAAATATTTTTATTTATTAACTATCCATACATTGGTTTGTTTAAAACTATGTATTTTATTCTTTATTGTTTTGTTAAAGTCATCTTGTACGCAAAAATAGCACTGAATATGTTTTTAACTGCATATTTGACTTTATTTCTGAATTTGGATTTTAGCTAGCATGTGCCAATAAATATTTGAAACACACAATGTTACTGTGAACAAGTTCTTCCATTGGACTTCAATATCTGTGCAAGAATGACTTGCAGATCTTATGCTGCAATTGAATTATAATAATTTACAATGCATAACATAAATATTTGCTGATAAAATGCATGATAATGCATGGAGAATAATTTTGCCAATATGAAGGTTCTATGTGGTCTATTCATTTTAATTTTAATTATGTTTGTGTGTCACAGGACAAATTATAAGGCCAAATGGAAGCCAATTCATACTAACCAGTAGCAAATTTACATCATAGAAACTTCATCTATAACGGTGTCAAACTCGCCACATCCCATGACGTATCATGACGTATCACGACTTTTTTCCCCTTGCCGGAGCTGGGGTGGGCACAGCTTCTGCATGACACATCTGGCCCGCGGACCAGCAGTTCAACACCCCTGATCTATAAGTTTCTATAGAGCCAGCTTAACTGTTTAGACCTCTCTCCACAATTGCTGGCATTTAATTAGCTACTGTATGAAAATGAAAACAATCCTCAAGAGGACACAAGATTGAATATGATATCAGTGGGATCAGAATGCCACACACTGTACCTGAATTCTCATACATATATTAATATTCCCATCAGTATTCTAGACACATATTAAAAGTGGCTTGGACTTTTTTTAGGTCTGAATAACGGGATTGGAGAAGATTAACCATTAAATGAACTTAGCAAGAGACATGCAATTGAGAACAGTATATACTCTATCAAGCCAATTAACAACAAGTCATTGTTTCAAAATATTTATAAAATATTTAAATTTGCCCCAGTGCATAAATACACAATAGCCTGGAATTTAGTAGTTATCTATTAAAATCCAATTGAACAGAAGTTAATCTGTTGGATAAATTATTAATGATCACCATACAAAATCTGATTATATTATTTAACTAAAAGAACGAGTACATTTATGTATCATCTTTTCAAAGTCAATCCAAAGATGCTAATACATGTTGGAAGTAAAATTCTCATAAAATGAGGACCTATTAGCATGATTTCCTAGTGAGAAACTGCAAAGATACCGAGGAGGCTGGTATATCCATTTAAAGAGGTTTGTTAAAAGTAGCAATTAACAGCCCAAATTTAAAATTAAGAACTATGTAAAGTCTAACAATTAAAAAAACCTTGAATAATCATTGTCATCACAGCAGCAGCAGCAGCATGATTGATACTTGAAAAATGATGGAATTCAGATAGAATAGCCCTCCAGTTGAAAGACAATCAATTGGGATAGAGAAAGGTAGCTACAGAAATCTATAAATATGTAAATATTTAGAACCAATTGTTCAGAAGTTGGGCAATTGTTGAATGCTGACTAAATGGGTTATAAATAAAACATTTACAAGCTGGACATGGGCCTTGTGTGTATTAACTTCTGTGTAATGTGTATTAACTTCTGTGTAATGTGTATTAACTTCTGGAATGTTTTGGTAAGTTTTGTTACTTGCTGACCACAAGAATCTTGCAAAGAAGTACAGTATGTTAATCTCAGGGGGTTTTTTTCTGTTAACTGTACTTTTGAAGTAGAGGTGTGCATAAAACAGGTTCTGCCTGAGCTACTTTCTATGTGATAGTACGTTTTGAGACCATATCTCTGGAGAAAAAGAGAGCCTTAAGCTTAGTCAGATCATATTAATGGCCTCATCACAGCTTAATATTATTCTAACAAGAGAGGCACAATGTTTTTGCAAATAATTAATTCCTGTTCCAACTTAATATGAGAGATGAAAATCCTGTTCTTTCTCACTCCAAGTGAGGACAAGCTTGGAACTGGCATGGAAGTGGCAAATTATGTCAGGTTGCCTCATAATATGTGTACAGGTAGTCCTTGGCTTACAACCATTCATTTAGTGACTGTTCAAAGTTACAACGGCACTTGTAACTTAATGACTGTTGTAGCATCCCCATGATCACATGATCAAAATTCCGATACTTGGCAACTGATTCACATTTATGATAGTTGCAGAGTCCCAGGGTTCTGTGACCACCTTTTGCGACCTGACAAGCAAAGTCAATGGGGAAGCCAGATTCACTTAACAACTGTGTTACTGAATAACTGAAGGGATTTACTTAACAACTGTGATAAGAAAGATCATAAAGTGGAGCGAAACTCACTTAACAAATGTCTTACTTAGCAACAGAAATTTTGTGGTCAGTTGTGGTCATAAGTCAAGGACTATCTGTACATGCATACACAATTCCCATAGAAAGCTATTTGTGCAACAATATTACATTAATTTAGCATATAATTTAGTGGGACATGTTTTGTAACTTGCTTGGAAGCCCCCTCCCAAAAAAAGCTTTATATGGAAATAATCACTGCTCTAAGAGGGAAAAACAAGACCTAATTCTAATGGCCAAGAAGTCAAAGAAGACAGGGGCTTCATTAACTACACTCACTGGAAGCCTATAAGCAGATTCTATAACACAAAACAATTGTGCACAATTATGCCTTAATATTTTGTTTCAACTGCCAGGTTTTACGAGGGTTTGAGACACACTTGGGAGTGAGGGTGAAAAAAAATGAGCCATTTATTAACTTCCCTAGAATTAAAAGTTAGTGGTTGCAGCTCTTTTGATGGAGCAGTTAATCAACGGAACATGCAATCCTGATCAGTATTTGAGTTCCTTCCATTCCTTTTCATGTGTATATATGTCACCAGCGTGCAGTTCTGTGCCTGGTATGTGTCAGTGGTGTTGCCATGGTTTCAGGAGGAATGGCTGTCATCACTTGTGTATTTTCAATTTTGCCAGACTGCTCCATTTTTCCACTGAAAGCTTTTTGGATCCTAAGATTTCTTGACATTACTTTGGAACTTACATTTCTTGACGTGGTTTGGGTGCTAGGAAAGGACCGTCACTGCATTCCCTGCTAAGAGAGAAAAAAAAGGCAGAAATAATGAAAACATAATTTTAAGAAAACTGACTGGCAGAAGAGTTTGGAAGTAGAACAGATGAGTTTTCAAGCAAAAAAAAATGTATGGAAAGAGCAAGCATAGAAGTTAAAAAGAACTTGAGCAGTTGGAGGAAAAATAAGATGAGCTCAGACAGCTTAAAGAATTCACGCAGAGCTGTAAACTGCAGGAGAGCAGTTTTGACTGGAACTGAGAAATGGAAAATGATGTTTTGGAGCATGGTTTTTGCTTCCTGGCGAGCGGGCGCAGTGACTGGCAGAATACTGGCTAACTCAACCATTTATATGGGAAGAATAAATTCCATCCATTGAAAGTTTAGAAGGGATGTTCATTAAAAATGGAAATAGCATCGAAATCTTTGCATGGTTGTTGCACAGAAACAACGAGAAAAACAAAGCACATTATATAATCAGA